GTTTTGTGTCTTTTTTTTTTTTTTTTTTTTGGACAAATCAGACTAATTGTGACAAAACGCTGGTTATCTCTGGAAAAACAATTAAATCCCTTCGATTACAGTTAAGGGGAAATGTGCTTAGCGGCGGAAAGCGGCCGGTAATGGGGCGGCCCGCGCCCCCAGTCCGGTCGATATCCCATTACGGCGCATGCATATCTCTTTCAAGCACCTTGCAAACTCCCCCCGAACATCTAAATTATAGGGTCAAAATTCGGATAATTACTCGATTAAAACCTATTACACTTATTAGGGGCCGTTATTGATCGCGAATTGCATTCGACCCGCTCCTGATTGCTTTTTGTGCCCCCTCCCCCCAGCCCTTCCTCCCTCCAACTTCTCGGCCCCTCTGCAGCGCAGGGACAAGCGAGCTTGGCAGACAGGACTGGGGCTGCCAGCTGGGGCTAGGGGGCTGCCTGTCACACCTGTGTTAGGCTTCTTTCGGGTCCGCTGAGATGGAAGGAGAGTGAACCCGGGTTGGATGGAGGTGGACCCCGCGGGCTCCTGCCAGGGACTGTTCTCTAACCAACACCTGCAAAGGGAACCTGTGGGGACAGGCGGAAGGCCCACCTTGCAAGGAAGAAGCTGAGCTCCGCTGGGGAGGGGGCCTGGCAGCTGACCGCCCTCCTCATCCCAGCCCCAGACATCGGCAGGAACTGAGGTGGTCGGTGCCCTCAAGATGTGTGTGTGTTGGGGGGAACAGCTTCCACTCTGGGGTGTGGGTTGGGGACCAGGACACATGCTGGCCTCCATGTGACCTGGGCCAGTGCCCTGAAGGAATCTACGCAAAGTGAATTTGTCACTGAATCCCTGAGGATCTGCATGCCAATCTGACCAGGCTGAGTAGCACCATGAAGGGCACTACCCACCTCCCCTTGAGGCTTCAGACCACCTGTGAGAGGGGAGTGGACACAGATGACCCTCAAGGCCCTGGCCAGGAGAGACTTCCTTCCCGATTTCAGAGACTCAAGTTGCAGTCACACAGGGGCCTCTGCTTAGAGGACTGGGGGCTGCTGCCCGCACTCTGGCTGGGAAAGTTCCTGGCTTGGCGGGTCTTGGCACCACTCCCAACAGGCCCAGCCAGGCTCTCCTGTCCAGGCCTAGCAGGGACTGGTGGGGGCTGCAGACCTGGGGTCTCCAGAGAAGCGTAGGCACCATCTGAGGAGTGTGGTCTGAGGCTACCAGCAGAGTTCCAGGGTCAGGAAGCTTGAGGTATGGACCCCGCTAGGGCGGGTGATTTTGGCCCCCAGAAACCCCTTCCCATGGACATCTCTGACCCCACCCCAGGCCTCTGGCCTGGCAGGCTATTAAATGCCTGGTAATTGGCTGGCCCCATGCCGCCTGTAATTGGAGGGTAATATACGCTGAAATAAATTAAATGGCCTTTAACTAGTTTGTACATCACACAAAATGAGTTTAATTAAGTTTGTATCTGCCCCGAGGATCGATCAGAGCTTTCACTACGCTGTAAACTCCGCAGCCGAGGGCCCGGCCCGCAGCACTGCCCCGGCCCCGCTCAGGCGCAGGCCCCGGGCTGGGTGCTTCCGGTATCAGCGGGCCGAGGGCTGCATTGAGAAACTGGCACCGCAAGGGAGAGGGGAAGCGCTTTCGACAGGAAAAAATAAGGGGCAGAGAGGAGCCCCGGGCAGGCAGGAGGAACGAAGGGAAGAGGAAAGGGAAACGAAAGAGCTAAGGGGGAAAGAGACAAAATGAAGGGGAGAAACTAAACCAAGAAAAGGAAATCACGAAGGAGGAAGCGAGAAAGGCTGGAGGGGGACAAGCGGAGAAAGGGACTTTCGGAAGCTGGCGGGTCTAACTCTGTCCTCTCCCGGTCTCTACCCGCCCAGATGCTGGCGACCCCTACAAGGCTGACGAGGCCGAAGCCAACGGCTAAAACCACGGGGGGGGGGGGGGGCGCCCCC